GAAAAGGGGAAAGGAGGGGAGGGGAGGGGGGCCAGGCGAAGTGAGGAAAGGAAGCCTGAGGAGTGTCTTATAGTGGAAATGGGTGATGACACCTGAGGTAGCAATTGTGGTAGGGCTGCATTTCAGAGAGCTTTCATTCTCAGTACGGGGCATCCTTGGTGTATTGTCATCAATAACGGGGTTGGGTCACGTGTGATATGAAAGACTAGGATCGGAATCATTTGCAGTGACGGTCATATAACCATCAGCGGTGAGAGGTGTGATCTCGTTTTCACTTTGTCACCTGATAAGGGTGGCCAAACAGCAGCAAGATAATGGGCCGATCTATGGAGTGCAGTAAACTACTCGCCGCTCAGTTATTGCTGGGTTAGTGGGGGTGATGTCAAAACGAGTTGCAAGTTATAACACTTGTTGTTTTATGCCCTCGAGCGTAAACTTAAAGGCTGAGTAACATAGTGCACGAGTCAAATGGCAAACTGCATGTCTGTAGCGTGAATGTTTCTTCTGGCTGTTGAGACCTACATGTTTTCTGTGCATGGCATTTAATTGACAGTTTGTCTGAGAGATTTCCATGTTGCAAGGTGTGTGGGAAAGTTTCCCCCAGCTTTGATCAGGATGGTTGTTTGGTTGTTGATTATGACTTTAATCATTTCGGCAAATGTGTGTAATGAAAAACTACAAAGAGTTTCACTTATAAATGTACATACTACATAGCAACATGCTATATAATGGTCAGGGTTGTCAGAACGCCTACGGCCGATGCCTACTGTAGACCGTCAGCTTGGCTACCAGTCGGGCCGACCCGTAGGCGGACTGGTTGGCAGTCTGTAGAGGGCCATCCACTGTTTTTTTTTTTCAATCTGAGTTCAGGGCTGTACTGCGCTTGCTGAGTACAGCCCAAATCCGCTGCGAAACTTTGGGGATGGGGGGCGGGGATACGGGGGGCTGTGGGGGAGGGAGGTATAGGGGGGGCATAAGAGGGCTATAGGGGGGTTGTAGGGGGTTAAGGGGAGGGTATGAGGGTGTTGGGGGGCAGTATGGGGGTGTTGGGGGGGTGTATGGGAGTGTTGGGGGGGGCCATTGGGGTGTTGGGGGGGTTTTGATGGGTTTATTGGGGTTCCTCTTTTTTTTTTCAGGGTGCCGACCGACCCCCGCCTGGTAGCTGCCGACCAGTCCGACGGTCGGCTGGTCGGCCCCTGGCCAATCCAGGGGCCGACCGTCGGCGTGACTACTCTGATAACGATGATACAAACAGTTCTGGTCTGTTTTGTGTTGGGGGTAGACTTTATTAGGGTTGAAAAAAGAGACTTCACGAGGCAAATGATAAGTTGCATGTCTGAAGTTTGCATTCCTGTAGGCTGCTGAGATTTGTCTGCAAACACAGACCGCAATTTCATCTGTGAGATTCAGTGTTGCATAGAGTGGGTGGGAAAGCAGAGCCGCTGCTATTAGCCGATTTCAGAATCGAGCACCCAACCTTCCGCTTTTAGGCGGATACCTCACCAATAGGCTAAGTGGGCTGGGATGAAAGTGAAGCCCCTTGATGAGTACTTCACCCCACCCCAGCACAGAATACCCCACGGCGTGGTGTACCCAGTCACACTCGTCGCCATCAGTGATGCATTACCAACGTCAGTGTAGCCACTATGGCGTCATGTCGTCCCTGACTACTTCCAGGTTATCTGTGCTCTCTATACTTAAGAGCCGTTGCTATTAGCTGATCGGAGAATGGAACACCTGACCTTCTGCTTCTTAGACGAACACCTAACCAACAGGCTAAGTCGCTGGGGTGAAAGTGAAGCCCCTTGATGAGTACTGGTCAGGGATGGCTTTTTAAAAAGCATTTATTTGGCTGTTCACTGTTCAAAGTCTTCAGACAGTTGACTGGAGTTTCAATTGTTCTGACAAAGGTGTGCAATAGAGAACTACCCAATCATACTCATGACGAGGGACGTTGGTCAGGGATGGCTTTTTAGAAAACATTTATTTGGTTGTTCAGAGTCTTCAGACAGGTGAGTGGAATTTCAATTGTTCTGACAAAGATGTGCAACAAAGAACTCCAAAAAACTTTTCTGCATATGAAATACTGTGAACAGTTCCGGTCTGCTCTGTGTTGGGGGATGGGAATGTCTTTCAGGTAGCCATCTGCAAGAAAAAGGGGAAAAAGAGAAGTCGCGAGCATGTCGATGAGGTGTCGCTTGCAATTTTGGTATCTCAAGGATTCAGTCGATCAGAAGGTAAATCCCTGCTGCCATGTTGCTTGAAGTGTTTCTGTTGCAAGGGGGTAGACAGCAGATAGTTAGCAGAGCCCTGAATTTTCAATGTTTTCTCATTGATCCTTATGAACTTGGAATCAAACGCTACGGTGGACACCACATAGACCAACAGTGAAACAAAACGAAACATAACAAAATGATTAAAAAATTGTAAAGCCCTAAAGAAAAGTGCTTGGCGGGCAAAGAAATGTGCCATCGTCTTTTCACCTGCCTGTGATCTGGGCATGCTGATTGCCTGGCGGGTTGCCTGGATGCCCAACCAGGTGGGCCTTATAGCCTTAGCCCCCACCATTTTTTCAGGGTTTTCAGGGTTGCCAAAACAGCAATTTCCGAGGCTCCAACAAACACCAAATTTGACACACACAAACCTTGACCTAGAGAAAAAACAGCGCGAAGAAAGAAAAAAAAAAACTAGTAAAAGAAAATGTCAATCATCCAAATGCCTCTTTCAGTGCTTGGGGGCTTAACCTGTGGGCTGAAAAAGGAGGGGTCCATGTTAACTCGTGATGGGCTCGGGGGGCAGGGCGAATTTCTGAATGGAAGAGAGCGGACACAGGGGAGAGAGGAGAAGAGAGGGGGAGAGGGAGCACCTAGAAGGAAACTGAAGAGACGAGGAGAGAATCAAGGGAAGGAAGCAGGAAAAGGACAGAACAGGAGAGAAAACATCTGAGATGGAGACAAGGAAAAAGAGTTGGGAAATGAGAGTCACGCAGTACGTTTGCTTACTACTGGCATACATCTCTGCTTGATCCCAGAACAGTGACAGGACAATTTAGTCTTGCAATGTACCTGGTGAAGTAGTGTGTGCTAGCATCGGTAGAGTATTTATTTGTAGCATAGCTCTATATGTGTGATGGTGCGTGAAGTCCCTACAGGTTTTAAATTTTAATGGATTGGTGAGGAATGGACTCTTTGAGATCCCTAGGATGATGACATTCAGGGGCTTTCTCACAAAATGAGTGATGAAAGCTGCCATGTCTTCGGCGTTCCCTGTATTTCTTCAAGTGTTTCTGTTGTGAAGGAGGCAAAGCATGTCCTCTACATTGGTTCCACAGTCCTCGCCTTTTCAATATAGATATTATTTTTTACACTTGCTTTTCTCAGACGAGCAGTCAGATGTGTGTTTGTGTTTTAGTTTACCGGTGTAGGTGGGTAGGTGGATCGGTTAACTGTGCGACATGACTTAAGCAAACCCAACCACTGGTGCTTTCATTCTCCCCTTTTATTTCAGACTTTCGCTGTTTCTGTCAACGGTTTACTGGTGTGTGTGTGTGTGTGTCATGGCTACGATTCGGACCACCGGACAGGGATCCGGACCGCCCTTGGTCCAGGGTCCTGTACCGGGGTCTGGATCCCGGGCCGGATGGTAGGGCCCCTGCCCAACGGCCAAATTTTTTTTGGGCGTCCCAGAGTGTTTCTTCACGCCCTGTGGCGCCCACAAAAAATCGCACCCTAATTTTTTAGGCCCTGTGCTAAGATCCGGAAGGGCCTGAAAGTCTACTAGGGTTTTTTGTTTTGTTTGCTTGTTTTTTTTTTTTTTTTTAACTGTTGGGCGGGATTTCGTGGCCGCAGCCGCGAAATTGAATGCTTTCAGATCTGGGCCGCCTTTGCGTCGTAGGTTGGTCACTCCTCTTTTTCTCCTCCTCCTCCTCGTCAACTCTGCCCTCCTTTCCTTTCCCGCTCTCGTCCTCGTCCTTGTCCTCCTCCCCCTCCTCCTCGTCAAGTCAGGCCTCATTTTCTTTCTCCTCCTCCTCCTCCTCCTCCTTTTCTTCGTATCTGAGTATCTCTCTGCCGTCCTCTCTCTCCGCTGCCATCCGTTTCTCCGATGTCCTCTCTCTCTCCGCTGTCGTTCATTTCTCCCTTGTCTTCTTGAAATCGATTTTATTTTTTTTTGTCGAAAGATTCACTGTTTGAAGTAGGGTGGAGTTGACGATGACGAGGAGGATGAGAAAGGAGGGCGATGACGAGGATGAGTAGGAGGAGGAGAAAGGAGACTTGAGGAGGAGGAGGAGGAAGAGGGTCCCTTGGGACATTCATTAGAATTGGGATGTTACAGAGAAGATTAACATGGCCCCTGCGCAAGGATGACACACACATAAATCAAGAAATGGTCGAACATAAAAAAAAAAAAAGAGGAGGAGGAGAAGGAGAAAGGAAAGTAGGGTGGAACGATGAGGAGGAGGAGAAGAAAGGAGGGCGGGTTGATGATGACGAGTAGTAGTAGTAGGAGGAGGAGACATGACGAGGAATTGGAGGAGGAGGAGGAGGACGGTCCCTTGGGAGTTTCGTTAACATTGGAACGATACAGAGAAGATTATCATGGCCCCTGCGCAAGGATGACATACATAAACCGAGAAATGGTCCCCCCCCAAAAAAAAAGAGGAGGGGGAGGAGGAGGACGGTCCCTTGGGACATTCGTTATAATTGGGACGATACAGAGAAGATTAGCATGGCCCCTGCGCAAGGGTGACACACATAAATTGAGAAATGGTCAGAAACAAAAAAAAAAAGAGGAGGAGGAGGAGGAGCAAGAGAAATGAAAGTAGGGCTGATGACGACGAGGAGGACGAGAAAGAAGGGCGGGAGTTGATGACGAGGAGTAGGACGAGGTGGAGGAGAGGGAGAAAGAAAAGATGGGTGGACTTGAAAAGGAGGAGGAGAAGGGTCCCTTGGGACATTCGTTGAAATTGGGACTACAGAGAAGATTAGCATGGTCCCTGCGCAACGATGACACATAAATCAAGAAATGTTTCCAAAAAGAAAAAGAAAAAAGCAAAAAAGAAGGGGGAGGAGGGTGGTAAAAATTGCAACGATGCATAGAAGATTTGCACAGCACGTCTGTGGGTGCCATGTGGCACTCCGTCATTGTCTTCTCCATAATCGCCCTTCCTTTTCTTTCTCCCTCTCCTGCTCCTCACCGCCCTCCTCTTCCTCCTCTTTTTCCTCGTACCTCTATGTCTCGTCCATCTCTCTCTCCTCTCCCGTCGCTCCCTCTCTCGGTACCTTTGTTTTATTTTATTTATGGTAAACAACTCCAATTACAAAAGGTAAAAACATGAAAAATTCTCCTGTTTAAATCGGAGAACTTATGAATGAAATACGGTTTGAAATTCCTCAAACACAACACGATTAGAGTATACTCACACTAGGCCCTCAAAATCACGAAGTCCCAAAATGAATGACCAGATCGAGTCCTCCTTTTACAAGGACTCAATCTGGCCGCTGGTTTTCGGATTTTGTGATTTTGAGGGCATAGTGTGAGTATGCCCTTGTGTGGGCGGTGTGGGCCATGCCCGCAAAAATAAGAAATGTTGTAGGCAACCTGACACGGACCACTCGCATAAACCGAGACAGACTTCAAAAAACAAAAAGCGAATCACAGGGTAATAAAAAATAGCCTAAAACTTACGGACTCTTGAGTTTAATTGACATAGAGCTTAGCGTCCGTGGTGCGGGCGGTGCGGCTACGCCAGCAACCAAAACTACCGAAACGATAAAGAAAATACCATAGAGTAGAGGAAAGTGTCGTAGGGTGTCGTAGAGTGTCATAGAGTAGAGTGTCGTAGAGTAGCGTAGAGTAAAGTACAGTAGAGCAGTGTCATAGAGTAGAGTAGAGTAGAGTAGAGTAGAGTAGAGTACAATAGAGTGTCGTAGGGCACAATAGAATAGAGTAGAGTAGAGAAGAGTAGAGTGTAGAGTGTCGTAGAGTAGAGCAGAGTGTCGTCGAGTAGAGTAGAGTACAACAGTGTTGTAGAGTTTCGTAGATTAGAGTGTCGTAGAGTAGTGTAGAGTAAAGTAGCGTGTTATCAAGTGTCGTAGAGTATAGTAGAGTAGATTGTCGTGGAGTGTCGTAGATTGTCGTAGAGTAGAGTGGAGTGGAGTGGAGTGGAGTGTCGTAGATTGTCGTAGAGTGTCATAGAGTGGAGTGTCGTAGAGTGGAGTGTCGTAGAGTAGTGTGTCGTGGAGTAGAGTAGAGTGAGTTGTCGTAGAGCAGAGTGGCATAGAGTAGAGTCGAGTAGAGTGTCGTAGAGTAGGGTAGAGTACGTACAGTAGAGTATCGTAGAGTATCATAGAGTAGAGTCGTGAAGTAGAGTAAAGAAGATTGTCGTAGAGTAGAGTAGAGTGTGAGTAGAGTGTCATAGAGTAGAGTAGAGTAGAGGAGAGTAGAGTAGTCGTAGAGTCGAGTTATGTAGAGTAGTGTCGTAGAGTGTCGTAGAGTGTCGTAGAGTGTCGTAGAGTGTCGTAGAGTAGAGTGGAGTAGAGTAGAGTAGAGCCTCGGAGAGGAGAGAAAAGGAGAGTAAAGTAGAGTAGAGTGGAGTAGAGTGGAGTAGAGTACAATGTTGTAGAGTGTCGTAGAGTAGTGTTGTAGAGCAGAGTACAATAGAGTAGAGTAGAGTAAGTTTTTTTTCAAAGTTGCGGGCCAGCTCCCTGCCCTCCACACTTCGGACTGTGCCAGACTGTTTTGTCGGACTTTCACCGACTGCTCAGGAGGTTGAACCCCGACAGTCTGCCTAGGATGCATTTGACTGATGGATGTATGTGTGTGTGTGTGTGTGTGTGCGCGTGCACACGTGTGTCTGTGTGTGTGTGTCATGTGTGTGTGTGTGTGTGTGTGTGTCACGTGTGTGTGTCATGTGTGTGTGTGTCTGTCTGTGTTTGTGTATGTGTGTGTATGCGTGTGTGTGCATGTGTGTGTCACGTGTGTGTGTGAATGTGACACGTGTGTGTGTGTGTGTGTGTGTGTGTGTGTGTGTGTGTGTGTGTGTGCGCGTGCGTGCGTGCGTGTGTGCGTGTGTGTGCTGTCATATTCGCTATACACTCAAAAAAGTGTGACTGTGTCAGACTGTTTCATTGAACTTTCATCGACTTATCAGGAGGTTGAACCCCGACAGTCTGCCTAGGATGCATTTGACGAATGGATGTGTGTGTGTGTGTGTGTGTGTGTGTGGTTTGGGTCTTGA